ACTGTAGCCTGGCACTTTGCAAACTGCACATTGTCAACTTCAGCCTCATAAGCTGCGCAATGCACACTGTACATTGTAAATTACACAGTGCAGACTGTAGCCTGGCACTTAGCAAACTGCACATCAGCATCGTAAACTGCACCATACACACTGTGCATTGCAAATTACACAATGCAGACTGCAGCCTGGCACTTTGCAAACTGCACATCAGCCTCGTAAACTGCACAATACACACTGTGCATTGCAAATTACACAACGCAGATTATAGCCTGGCACGTTGCAAACTGCACGTTGTCACCTTCAGCCTCACATATTGCACAATGCAGACTATGCATTATAAATTGTGCAATGCAGACGCAAAGTGTAACTCCAAACATGGCGAATTGCACAATATTGCGAACTGCACATTGTGAACTTCAGTCTTGCATGTGGCGCAATGCAGACTTATAGTACCAACTGCATCTGTAAATAAACTGCAACCTCGCTGTAAACTGAACAATGCACCTGCAACTTTCCATGCTACAAATTACATAATGCAACCTGCAGATCTACATATTACAGGAAAATGAAACCTGCAACCTTACATGCTGCAAAGTGGATAATGCAATATGCATGCTGTGCATGCTGCCATGTACATAACACATCCTATATCCTTGCATGCTGTTAAACTCACAATACAGATTGCCACTTCTCATGCTGCAGATTGCGCAATGTAACTTTCAGCCTTACATATAACAAATCCAGGATTGCAAGGTGCAAACCTCATAATATAGCCTGAAATCTTAGATGTTGCAAACTTCACAATGCAACCTGCAGTCCTTATGCACTGCAAAAGCTGCATGATGTGCAATCTGCATAATGCAAACTGCACTTGTACGCAATGCAAACTGGATAGTGAAACCTGCAGCTTTACACACAGCAAGCAACTCAATGAAGTTTGTAACTTTAAATACCGGTAAATGCACAATTGAGTCTACTTCTTTGCTCAGTACAAATTGCATGATGTAACCCTACATACAGCAATATGCACACTGAAAGCTGCAGCCTTACATGCTGCAATCTGCAAAGTGCAATCCACTGCAAATTGAAATGTGCAATTTACAACCTTACAGTTACACCCACACTAAAGACAAGGAGGTCTGAAAGACAGTCAGGGTGACGGTGAAGGAAGTAGAGAAAATACGGCTGGTCCACCAGACCTTCTTGTGAAGAGAGACCTCCTGGATTGCTGTGGGCTCCAAGCAGCAGAGATTTCCCGCCTGGAGGATTTCCCTGGCAGGGGCTACTTCAACATGACCTACAGGAGTGTGAAACAATGTGAGCATCCCCTAAAGGTATTTGAAGAGAAAGGAGGTGACGGACCCCTCTTTGTCCTGTCTGTGGCATTATTGTTAGTTCTGTCTGCACAGAGGAGCTGGGTTGTTACAATCCACATTTACAACCCCTTCGTCCTGGCAGCAGATATCCTGACCTTCCTGGGACGGTACATACAGCTAGAAGGAAGCAGCATCCTATTGGAATCTGACACAGCAAGCGGCGGGTTAAGGTGACCCTGAAGGTGGACGCTAGTGGACTCCAACAACCCTCCAGCTTTGTGGCCAGAGGAAGCCGAGGCTACCTTACAAAAGGAAGGGGTTGGGGGGGGGGGGGGGGGGGGGGGGGGGGGGGGGAGTGGTTTGCAGCCTAGACTGTGCCGAACCTGCAGTTAGGGCAGGGCACATGGCAGTGGACAGCAAAGTAACCCTCTGCAGGGGCTGCAAACAGGAGGGCCACTTGACTAAGGAGTCCAAGAGCTACAATCTGTGTGTGGAAGCAGGCCACCTATATGAAGCCTGCCCAAAATGGGGGGGGGGGGGGGGGGGCCACATACGCTCAAATGGTCGGAAGTGGCAATGTGAGCCGTGGGACCCCAAAGGACTGTGAGGCATCACCCTCCAGCAAGAAAACTGAAACAAGGATCACCCAGAAGGTGGGACAGGCTGAAGGGGAGAAAGAGGTAGCCATCGTGGAGGCACAGCAACTGACCCAACCTCCACCTGAACCGAGGGAGTCAGTGGGGGACGAGGAAATGAAGGTGGCAGGGGGAGTAGATACCTGTGAGAAACAACCGGAAAAGGAAAACGCACCAGGCCCACAGCAAAACAGAGAAAGGCAGCTGCATGGTGGACACACCAGCAGCTCCTGTAACAACGAGGACAGGTGGAGGAATGGCCACCAACAAAGAAAGGCGAATAGTACCACAGGAGAGAAGGAGAGGAGCACCCCTCAACCTGGAAATACCAGGGGCCTAGTGACGCCCAACCTCCAGCCATTGGGAATCACGGGGTACCTACTGCACCACCGCTCTGGGCAACTGGGAGCAGCAATGCTCCAAATCAGGAGCAGAGCATGACAGTCCCTCTGTCAGATTTTGAACCGGACCTTCCTGGCTTTGTTTTTGCCCCCACGACACGGGATCAGGGCAATCTCCCCCCCAGGAGGAATAATCAGCTACCTCAGTGGAGAGAGTGTCCAACAGTTTTCCCACATCACAGGGATGCAGGGAGTCCTCCCATGACAAGACCATGGGTGAACAGACATTGGATCTACAGGTAATTAAATGAACTCTCAGAAAGCTCTGTGGGACGTGATTGGCCAGAACACGCTGGAGGTGTACGACAGTATGTTTCTGGCAGGTAGCATGTGCAGATCCACAAGGAAAGGCATCATCACTCTCATCTACAAGCAGAAGGGGGAGAGGGTGGAAATTAGAAATTGGCGACCAATTCCACTAATGAATGCAGATTACGAAATCCTGTCTAAGGTCTTCGCCAACTGGATCAAGTCTGCTCTGGGATCAGTGATTCACCCTGGCCAAACCTGTGTTATACCTGGCAGGATGATCTGTGAGCCTCGCTCTCCTCAGGGATACAATCGCCTACGTACAGGACAGTGAGAGTGGATGCCTGCCTCATTGCTTGTATTATTGTCCATAGCGTTAAGTCAGCTATGCGATGTGTTTCCATGCTGGCTTACTTGGCCAACATCAAAGCAGACCTCGTGTGTCTGCAGGAGTGCGGGATACCACACCTCAGCAGCTCCAGGAAATGGTCGAACCTGTGGGCCCATGGGCCTTCAATTTGGTCGGGGAGAAATAGTAGCTGTTCCTCCGGCCTGGATATTCTGCTGTGGGAAGGCAACTTCACCACCACCGCGGTTAAGGAGGTGGTGGGCGGGGACCTCCTCACAGCAGACATTATGTGCAGAAACACTGCCCTGAGACTAATTAACGTGTATGCCCTGGTGGTAAAGAGTGAGCAGCTGGCCGTCCTGCAGCAGCTCCCACTATTGCTGCCTATGTCCAGGCCAGTCATTCATTGATGTGGATGGATAATCCAAAGGGGCTGACAGCAACTGGATGCTATACTCAGATTCCTGATGGAAACAGTTAAAGTTGCCAAGCTGCATGACGTCTTCAACACCCTTGCAGATGGAATGCAGCGTACATACGTCAAGTCAGTGTTCTTCTGCGGCCACTGCCTCCTTTTGGCTGACTATCACCAGTGGGCCAGCAGGAGAAATTGGAAGCTGAACTGTTGACCCCAGAAAACATTGAGGAGCTCAATAGAAATTACACAAGTTGGAGAACCATGAAACCCCTCTTTGAGTCTCCAGTGGACTGGTAGGAAACAGTCAAGGGGAACATCAACAGGTTCTTTATCCTCAAAGGTGTTCAGAAGACTAGATAGAGAGAGAGATGGGGAAAACTGTCTAAACTGCAATAAAGCATGCAGAACCTACTCCTGCTGAGATGGATGGGGTCAATACCATGGAGGATCTCCAGCAGATGAAGAACATAGAACAGCACAGCACAGTACAGGCCCTTTGGCCCATGATGTTGTGCCGACCTATTATCCTACTAAGATCAATCTACCCTGCATATCCTACATTTTACTATCCTCCATGTGCATATCCAAGAGTCACTTAAATGTCTCTAAGAACGACCAAGCCTCATTCTTTTCCTTGGAGGTCTCTAAGATAATCTTCTGGTTCAGGGTCCACACCATGGAGCAGGATGAGACGTGCTCGTGTTTCTTTTTCCAGAAGGTACACAGAGAGAGCTCTGTGATCCGCAGCCTGAAGGAAGAAGATGGCTCGGTAATGTCATCTCAGTCCGACATCCTGAGAATCAAAAAATCCTTTAATGCCAGAGACAAAGCCTGCAGAGAGGACGGCCTCCCAGTCATTCCTGTCCTTTATCATCGAGGTCTTGAATGACAGCACACGGCAGAGATTGGACCAGCTGTTATCTTGAGATGAGCTAACAAATGCCCTCGAGTCCTCAGAAAGGAATAAAACTCCTGGAAGCGACAGCTTACTGGCTGAGTTGTATTGAGCTCTGTGGGACGTGATTGGCCAGAACACGCTGGAGGTGTACGACAGTATGTTTCTGGCAGGTAGCATGTGCAGATCCACAAGGAAAGGCATCGTCACTCTCATCTACAAGCAGAAAGGGGGAGAGGGAGGAAATTAGAAATTGGCAACCAATTCCACTAATGAATGCAGATTACAAAATCCTGTCTAAGATCTTCAGTACCTGGTCAAGTCTAGTCTGGGATCAGTGATTCACTCTGACCAAACCTGTGCTGTACCAGGCAGGATGATCTCTGAGCCTCGCGCTCCTCAGGGATACATCGCCTACATACAGGACAGCAGGGGTGAATACCTGCCTCATCATAGAACATAGAACATTACAGCGCAGTACAGGCCTTTCGGCCCTCGATGTTGCGCCGACCTGTGAAACCAATCTGAAGCCCATCTAACCTAAACTATTCCATTATCATCCATATGTTTATCCAATGACCATTTAA